CATCGATTGGCGGGGAGGCGGGGTGAGTACGGTAATAGCAGTGGCATTTGCCGCATGCCGCAAGGGAGAATGTCGCAATCGGGGAGAAGTTCCATTACCCAGTTCTGGGTGAATGTTCCGTCTCCCACTAGCTACTTCTGCACATATTCTTTCGGATGTATTTTCGATTTTAAAAACAACTGAAAGCACTTCAGAATACAAAACATAACACATGTTAAACTACGACAATATATCACATCACACAGGACCCCGGAAAAGTCGAATCCATAGGATGCTTACGCAAAAGTGAAGTAGCTCAAGATCAAAACAATATGGGTAAAGGCGCAGCCTCTAGGCTCATCATTTGCCTTTGAACGATGTTCCAGATCAGATATACATCGGAAACTGCACATCATGCGACCAGTGCCTACCAGCAGAGATATGTTTTAGCGGAGACCGAGATTAATTATGTCTTTCGTATCCTTCCGGTGGCTGTATCTTCGAGAAGAGTGGCACTGTCTTGGAGTCGATGTCGTAAATCCTAAAAGCAACTGTTCAAAGGTGAGAGGGGTATTTCTTTCACAGTGAGATTAGCAATCTACATTATGATGGCATGTGAGGCTGTCACCCCTTTAGGAGTGGACTAGGAGTTCCTTGAAAGCACAGTTCACGATAATTTTGGGCAATCCAGATTATGACGAAAAATGGAAGATTAGGTGGAAAACAGTGCGTTGAAGGTGAAGAAAGCGCGCGAAACGGGGTTTCCAATGTGACAAAGGGCTGAAAAAAATCGTTAAGGGGCTGGACGAGAATGAGACCAGAAAAACGAACAACGAGTGTTTGGACGAGCTGTACAATGTGTGTCATTGCGTATTTTGATCCTGGTGTGAATAGCTGACTACAGTAAGCGAAAACGTCCTTTGAAATTCATTCACTCATAAGCATGGGCTAACAAAAACACTAGTAACAGCAAAAATAGCCCACCTTTTCAATCTCTTGAGGTAGAAAATTAGTTAAAAGACCGCAGCAGCAAAAAGAATGACAGGGAATAATGGAATGGGAAAAATTTTGCCTCACCACTCGGCGATCAGCTGATTCCTTGCTGAGCGAGTGGGTCCTTATTGCAATCTGTATCGACTCGACACTCGTCTGACACATCATCGGTCGGTGGGCGTGGCATCCGACGACCCGCTCCCACTATGCCCTAGCTGTTGAGTTTTGGGACTCGACAGCGTCCTTTCTGGTACCCTTGGGGGCGACTGGGTATTCCTAGGGGAAGAACTCGGAAATTTTTTTATGGTGAACTGTGCCTTCAAGTGTAACGGTGGCTGCGTGCAGTGAGCAAGCTTCGTCGTTGTGACCACATTTTCCTGCGGTAACGCAACGAGCACAGAAGGAGCAGTAAGCGAGCGAGAAAGGCGCTGCTGCAGTGATGAATAGCCTTGAAACAACTGCGTGCACATTGGACATGACTTCTCAGAAACAAGTGTGAGGCGAGAAAGGTTTGGAATAAAACTATTGAGAACAGACGTTGTTAGACAATTTCAATAATGGTGATAAAAACAGAACAATGAGTGTGATCGACAGACACATATCTGACTATTCAAAGGACTCTGTTTCATTTGGGCCATCATGAAAGTCCGAGCATTCGCTGTTAATGGATCTGAGTGTATCGATGACAGGAAAAAAGCAGCAAAACAAATCGAACAGTGAACATGGACTATGTAAGAAAAGAGGAAAAGACCAGCATACAAAAAAGGAAAACAAATCAAATTTCAGGAATAGTTTATCGGCGATATGAGTAATGAAACGCACCACATCGGTGAATTCGTAGGGATGAGTCGCGCAGTGTCGGATTGGAGCTCGAATAGGCTTCAACCTCGCACCTGGCTTGACAACCATATGATTGATCACGTCGGAAAGCGAAATGATTCCCTTAATGAGAGATTAGGTTTCTTAATTGGTAACTGCAAAACTAAACCCAAAATAGGTAACTACAATCCATCAATTCGCAAAGACGATCATATCATGATTAAGCACATGAGAACATAGCTCAATCACGGGATCAAAGTAAATGTGAGGAAGAAAACTGGGCAAAATATCGGGAAAAATATAGCCCAGGATGGCATACTGAAGTTTCCGCATAGAGAAAAAAGTTAGGCTGCCATGAGAAAAAAGCCAAGTGAAGAAAACTCCGGTAAGCTTATGATGCTATGATGTAATACAAAATATATACATATACCCAAATAGGGGACATATATCGAAGGCTACGAGAGCATCCCGACCTCTTCTTCAGGTGCGCAACATAGTGAAATAAAGGAAGAATTTTAAACGGAAACACGGGGACAGAAGCACCAACCTCTACAGCGCCTGTTTCGTTGACTGCACGTAAACGATGGACATTCCGCTCTACGAGAATAGTAATAGCTTTCCATAAGGTACATATCCGTATCCCTTACCGACACGGCTCGATCGTTATCATTCTATAAATAGAACACCACTAAGAGCCCGTAAAGTGTTGACTTAACAAAGCAAAAACGGAAACCACCTTGCCCGAGTTTTTGAACTTGAGCGCCTGTTCAACGCTAACATCCAAGCTGTCGGCACTTTCTTCTAAAGCGATTCCCATTGCGTCGAATCGCGAATACATATCGACGACCCTACAATATTAGGGTTGAAAATACAAAGCAACCTTATAGCAGGAACAACTAAAGTGAAAATGTCTCGCTGACCAATTGGTACACCCGAAACATCTTTGTCAGGAGAATGTCAAGGCAATCTGCCAAAGGAGTGTCTGGGAAGACTTAGAAAGAAAGCTCCAATTGCACAAGTAGAAAAATCAAATAAAGTAAATGGCAAGTAGACTTTGAAATGTGACCTATGAATGCAGAACATTACGGTCTCACTATCAACAACGAACTTAGATGATAGATCCTTTCAACTTACCACTCGGATTCCGACCCAGGAGCCAACATTCAAATCCTTGGCAGTGCAAATGTGGTAATCAGGTTGAGTAAACTGGTGCTCCTGAACAACAACATGACAGCATGAAGAATAGTGATAAATGGCTAGTGTGGTATAATTTTCGTATAGGTTCCTTCCAAGACTACAACCCGAATCCCCTTTGAAAGACGAAAACATCGCGACATAAAAAAAAACTAGGGAAAGAAAGTAGAATACAAGGAGAACAGAGAATTTTGAAAACGTACAAAGCACCAAAGAAACTTGAGTAGTCGTTTGTGAGTAATGATGAACAGAGGAGTACCAGATTCCGGATCAAGAACTGGTAGACGATGTATATGATGCTGAGCGAGTAATCTAGCAGCCTCCAACAAACTTAACCGAAGCAGTTGATGGATATCCTTAAAGCGAATCAACTTAGAAAGCTAGAGCATACCTGTTATTAGCATTAATGTACACTAACTCCATGAGTTTTCCTTCTTTTTGCAAGAGTTCTGAAAGATTGTCGGCATAATAGAGAATTCAATAAATACGGCTTCAACGTTAATAAACACACCTTTATACGTCTTTATAGACAGCTTTCCGAGATCTTGTCTGCCTTCCACCAGTGCATCTGTCTGTGCTTGTTCTCTGAAAACAAATAGTGTTGTGGAAGAAAATGCCGATCAAAAGTTGTTGCAGTTACGTGCGCAACCTCAGTACAGCTTGTATAAAATCTGTGACTGAAAGAATCTGCTGGTAAGTAATTCACCACGTTCGCCATTTGATAACAGGACATGTCGAGTGTCTGATAAAGAAGTAGGCAGACAATTGAACCGATTTCCAGCGAACACATCTACTGTCCAGCCAGAACCTAGCTCATAACGTTCACATGAGCTTTCCTAGGAAATGTCACATAATAGAGGCACTGATCTGGGCGAAATTTGGAAATTCTACCCATGGCAAAATCTGTCCTGTTCCAGCTTTCTGAAATGGAAATCCAAGGGACAAAAAATAATCCATTAACTTTCGCTATACACCTTTCAACGAGAGCAGAGAATGACCAGAGCTGCTCTGGTCCTTTGCGCTGTATATGAAGATGATGTAGCTACGATAAGCCCCACTCTATCAAGTTGACTAGCTATTTATTTTCCTCATTCTCAAGTTGTACAAAGTCATTCATAGAGTTGGTAAAGACATATCAAGGAGAAAATTGTACTAGCCCCACTAGCCCTACATTTTGAGCCTTCAGACTAACTTTGCTTGTCTCTACGTTCACCGCTTTCGATAATGGAGTGGTTAATCCTCCATTAATATTTTCAGTGGATTTCATCTTCTTCGCCATAGTTTTTGCAAATAAATATTTATCTCAGCTCTGATAAGCCCAAGCACTTGGCCGGAAGTCACATTGTTTGAAGTTGTTCGGGAAAACGTATATTGTGGGAAAGAAAACAGGCAGAAGGATGAACCAACAAGAGTTTCAACTTATCGAATGATAGTACTAGGCACCGTTAATACCCTCGCAATATCAGACTGTTTCACAATGGCGGTTTCACAATGAGGATAGCAATTACTGACATCGAATAAATCCAGAATTGGGATCAATCTAGCTTGCTTTGGGAAAGTTTCCCGATAACGCTGCTCCGATTCTCCCATTATGCTCCGCAACTCCTCGATTGTCCTTCTTTTTTAATGTCTTAGGTTTCATATGTCATGGTACATTTCTATTTTCGGACTTAGTTTGATTCTTGCCACGAATAAGACAGTATCCATTACGCGGCTTTATTATTTTATTCATTCATAACGCGGCTCTTCAATCTTGTTACTTCGGATTCTCTTTCATTCTAGAGGTAAGTGAATCGAACTTTTATCGGTCCTTTTATTACTTGTTGATATTTCTTCAGTGATGTTTCTACTACAACAGTACTTCAGTGCACATTCTTCATGCTGCTCTATTCTCTAATTTACGACTAGTATATTCTCGAAAGGGGTGAGTCAATCTTTTACCCATCTTTTCACTACATGTTTCTTTTACTGTTCTTCCTACGTCTATTGTCCATCCTATATCATGTTTTCAGGGCAAATATTCAAAAGACACAAAGAATGAAAGGAGCCTCAACGGACAGACAACGGCAATTGACGCGTCTAGTTTCACTCGCGATAGCGACACCTATACCGCGAAAATCTAGAGATGAACGTCACTCAAGTCGAGGCTACAGGACTCGCGTAATCATTGGACAAGCTTTTTTTGCAATCTTTCACTACATTATGCTAAAATGTATTAATAAATGTGTGTACTGGTGTTCGGAGAGAATAAACAATTCCTTCCGAGTTTTAATTACTATGCAATTAAAGGAATGTCTTGCACTCACAGGCTAGATCGATTTCAAAGTTTATGCACAAGTTCAAGTAAGTTCCTATAACCGCAACCTTAAGGACAACAAAAACACTGATCAAAACGCTGGCATGCTGGAGATTTTCGCAATCCCTTGAAAACCTTTAATATTTGAACCATATGTTGTGGATTCACAACCATATCTATGTTTATAATAGAACTAGCCTTTATAACGATGATGTATAACATGCTAGTTCGACATATTAACCATAGGCATAACTTGACGTATCTCTTGAGTTGAGACCACAGGCATGACCTGGCGGTATCGTAAGTGTGCAATCAAGTAGGTAACTTAAGTTCTGCCGTTGGCGCGACCCGCTCTTTCATCCCCCGATCTTGAGTACTGCCACGGGCCCCCCTAAGGTCCAGTGGAGATACGGTATCTGAGGACCGCCCACATATTGTGTACCAGTCGGGCCGCCCGGCTAACGCCGGGCTTCCCTCCTTCTTAGGGGTCGCCCGGCTTCGCCGGGCGGTCCTCCTCCCTGTAAGAAATTTGCTATGCGTAGATAACTCTTCGAATTCTCCTTTTTCCTTGAAAGTTGTACGCCCTCAGTATTAGCTCCGAATTGGGAGCGATTTTTATGTAAGCCTTCTTCGCTGTGTCCGAAGAACATCGTATGATATCACAAAGACGATTATTCAGAGAAAAAAGGACAGATGGGCTAAGGAAGCGTATTTCCGTGAAATTTTCGTGCAATTGGAATACTTTGAACGCGCTGGAACCAAAGTGACAATTTTCGCGCAATCCCCGCCCCTTTGGACGGGGTCTGGTCTAGCCACCTACAGTGAGAGTTCCCTTCATGCTCCCATAACTCCTACCAAATTTGAACGTTCTCGGTCCACGGGGACAGAAGTTATGATTATTCGCTCAAACCCCACCCATTCTGGGCGAAGTCTGATCCTGTCACCTACCATTTGTGTTCCCATCCTGTTCCACTAGCTCCTACCAAATTTGAACGTTCTAGGTCCACGGGGACAAAAGTTATGGATACCTGCTCAAACTCCGCCCATTGTGGGCGGAGAGTGGTTCTGCCATCCGCCATTAGTGTTCTGATCCTGCCGCTCGTACTCCTACCGAGTTTGAGTGCTCTAGGATCACGGGGGCATGAGTTCTGAATTTTCGCCCAAACTCCGCCCATTGTGGGCGGAGCCTAGTCTTGCCTCCGCCATTAGTGTTTCCATCCTGTTCCATCAACTCCTACCCAATTTGAACGTTCTAGGTCCACGGGGACAGAAGTTATGGATATTTGCTTCCACTAACTGCTACCAAATTTGAACGCTCTAGGAGTCTGATCCTGCCACCTACCATAAGTGTTCTGATCCTGCCGCCCGTACTTCTACCGAGTTCGACTGCTCTAGGATCACGGGGTCATGAGTTCTGAATCTTCGTTAAAATATTTATTTCCCACAAACCTCGCCCCCTTCGGGCGGAGTCCGGTCCTGCCACCCACTGAAAGTGTTCCCATCCTGCCGTCTGCACTGCTATCAAATTTGAACGCTTTCGGTCTACGGGGACAGGATTTATGAATTTCCGGTCAGACACACACACACATACACACACAAACACACAAACATTCAAATACACCAACAGACACACTTAGCCGATTATATAAGTAGGATGTAAACCCCGTGAATGTTCTATTAGGTCGATCTTTATACTAGGCGTCGTAATAAACCTTTGTTACACGTCCTAAATACAACTTTCCATTGGTAATTCACCTAATTGGTGCATCGACCGTTGGAAACGATCCCTTCTGAGCTAGCTTCCCCCAGTGAAACACAGAAGGTTCATCGATCACCTAATTTGCTCCACATTCCTCCCTGAGGAAAGCAAAATCTAGCCAGTCTTGACCACATCACTGGTCAAAGCTCAAACAACTACTCTGATCCCTCCCTGAGGGATGCAGAAACTAGACATATCCTTCTGCGCTAGCTCTCCCAGTGAGAGACAGAAGGACGTTTCTATTGCCTGCCAAAAATCGGGAAATTTTCCTGCAAGTTCTTCGAGCCTCCTGAGGTAGGAAATTAGAATAAGGATCGCAGCAACAAAAAATAACAGAATGAAAGAACGGGAGAAAAAGATGGCTTCATCACTCGGCGATCAGCTGATTGTATGTGGGTCTTAGAACGGATATTGCAATCTGTATCGCCTCGACCCTCGTCTGACGTGACTTCGATGGAGGGAAGGGAAGTCCGGGCGATCCGGTAACAGGGATGCCCTAGCTTTTGAGTTTTGGGGCTCGACAGTGTCCTTCCTGTCACCCTTGGGGGCCACTGCCCTGCACTAGGGGGAAAACTCAGAAGCCATTTTTATCGTGTTTTGTACCTTCAACAATTCGGTAATCAGAAGAATTTCAACAAGGCTCCACTGCTGACACGAACGGTTTGAACGATCAATTGACTCTTTCTTACTGTGGTCCCTTACCAGCTCATTTTAGTTATTACTAGTTCTTTTCTTCAACCGCCTTCGATCCCTCCATATCTTGCGTAACACTCCAAATTGTCAAGATCCCATTCTTAAGGAGAGCAACAATGGCTAGCCTCTTTTATATCCCCTGTCATTACTTATGGTACTCATCACCTGCATTCAATTTTCGTGTCC